ATCTGGTGGTCCATACTCCCGCACTTGAAGCAAGCCCCAAATCTATTCTGCTGGTGGTTCGGCTTTCCAATATTATTTCTAATAGGTGGGACGAATCACCTGTTTCCCACCATCGGCTTCTTCCTAAAGCGGCGGTTGTCCCTATTCTGGGCGAACCGCGACCCAGAAGCGGCTGCCCTTTCCAACTGATCTCGTTCTATGGCGTGAGCCCGTTCATACATCTCCTCGTAGTCCCGAATGTTGAGCTATATCATCTGACTCCTAAGGTCCGGCTTGAGTCCATCTCGGAATCTCCGAACCTTATCCTGCGGGTTTTCCACCATCCTAGGTGCAAACTTCGACAATCTAGCGAACTCCGCTTCATATTGATCCACAGTCATTGATCCTTGGCGAAGTCTCATAAATTCTGCCAGTTTCCTTTCCTTGGCACTCTCCGAGAAATATTTTCCATAAAAATTCTCGGTAAACACAGCCCAAGTCTGGGCGGTCCCCTTGGGAAATACTCTGCCCTTGGTGGCCTTCCACCAGTCGTTAGCATTATCCTGCAGCTGATATACCGCCAAGGTCACCCTTTCAGCCTCGGTGCACCCCAGAACTTCGAAAGCTTTCTCTAATTCTTCTACCCAACGCGGTTCAGCCTCGGGGTCACCTTTTCCGTTGAACTTCGGTGGTTTTAACTTCAAGAGCTGTTCGACCAACTTAGACATCGGCCTGATCACATTTGCCGGTCCCGGAATTGGATTCCCATTATTCCCCTGATTCCCGTTATTGCCATTGGCCCCATTGGCAGCAGCAACGGCGACTTCAATAGCAGTGGCAACAGTGGCATTTCTCTCCCGGATTTGCCTACCCCTCAGTATTCCCGCTTCCTCGAGTGCCCTCAAAATCCCATCTACCCTTGGATCCTCTGAAACCCTCACTTGAGGTGCTACGCGATCTTGGTCACGACCTCGACCTCTACCTCTTCCTTGGCTACTCATCTTCACAACTCGCACGCTCACCTACCTGCTATAATTCCACTCAGGAATTAAAGACCTAAACCAAGCTAAACCGATCTAAGGTCCTAGGCGGGGAACTAACACAACAGCAATCAATCACTCAACATGCGGCCAAACACAAGCAGCACAAGACCTCAACCAAGGAGATACACGTACTTACCTCGGGTCCTGCCGCACCTGCACTTTACGGGTCAGTTCAACCAACCGGTCAGTCAAGACATAGACAGTCAAGAGGTACACGTAGCACACAAGGTCTCCCTACTGGTTACCCAAGGTCACCGCTCCTTATCACTCCAAACTTCGACCGAATTGGACCGAGCTGACCTTGCTTTGATACCAAATCAACGGGGGATGTCACGCCCCGAACCTTACGGCGCACGAGCATCCCAACCGAGGTCAAATTCGTGTGACATCCCAGGACGCGTTGCCGACCCAACACCCAACACCTAACACAGAGATCAAGACACATGCGGAAGCAACGTAAACACCCGTACAGTTTAAAACACATGACCAAGGATAGCCCAAACAACAAACAACATTATAAATATACACTTGCATTAACATCAGGGAAATATATACAATATCCATTACACAAAATACATACAAAGAATCAAAAGCGGGCCAACGGCCACTACTGACAAAAAGGGATAAGTGGCCCGGGCGGTCAGTCTAAACACTAACTTAAGGAAGGGCTCCGGTCAAAAAGGTACTGGCCCGACCTAACTAGGGATACAGCTAAACCCTAAGGTACCCAGTCCGGGTCGGATCCCGAGGACTCGGAACAACTGTCAGACAACTCATCCTCGGAGTCCATGGAATCCAGCTCGGACTCGACCTCTGCCGACTCGTCCTCAGAATCGACCTCCTCCGACTCGCTCTCCCGCTCGGAGTCCTGCTCCATCGGCTCCGGCTCGCTATCCGACTCCATAGGTTCCGGGTCAGAATCCCAGTCTACCGGCTCCTCGTCCATCGGGTCTGGCTCGTCGACCTCCCAAATAACAGGTCCGTGTCCGACGTCAGAATCCTCTCCAAATGAGGCCTCGGGGCTCGCGAAGTCTCCATCAGCGCACTGGGGATCTATATCACCTAGCCCGTTGAACGGGACATCAAAGGTCCTAAGAGGTCCGAAAGTCCCGGTGTAGTCCCTGAAGCACCAACCTATGTACTCGTGGGCCTGGAAGTGCTGCTCGCCCACATCGACCCATACCATAGTAAAATGTCTAATATACGTATCCCCATTCCCTACGGGGTACTCGGTCACATCCCGGTCTATCCGAGACGGGATCCTTAAACGGATTGGAACTTTTGACATCCACAAGGCCGGGGGTCTGAAAATGTGGGTTTTAACAACCGTGAGAACGAATCTCAGCGAGTAAACCCCCTAAACCTAAACGAGGCTAACATGCACCTCCTGACAGGCAAACAATCACACGAATAGACCAATAATCAATTGACCTAGGCCCTCGGGCCCAGATCGAGAACACAAATAACCCTGTAGGTTAGGCATATAATAATCGCGATAATGGCACATACGCGGCCACACGTACGCCATGCACATGCTCATACTCCTTGATGTCTGCATCACACACGATTCACCGACACGCACATGCTTGCACACCTGTCAATGCACTCTTGCACACACATGCCATCAATATGATCGTGCTAACGATCCGGATCAATTATGCACACCTGCGCACGACCAATTTCTCATTTATAAATCGACCCGCGTAAAACGCATCAGGTCTAACCCGCGTAAAACGCATAATGTCTGACAATATCCAACACTTCCTGACCCGCGTAAAACGCATTAGGCCCAGTGTCTCTAGCCCACGTAAAACGCATCAGGCGCAACACTGATCTCCATATACGGACCGAACCCGCGTAAAACGCATCAGGTTAGCCGTCTTCCGGCAATCCGGGCATCGTCCCGCGTAAAACGCATCAGGACGGGTTCAATATCCCGCGTAACACGCATCAGGGCTTATAGTGATCACACGTACACACACCAAATTGTATCTGAACCCCGCGTAAGACGCATCAGGGCGATTAGGTGATCACATGCTCATGTCAGGCACGCATACTCGTACAATTCTCATATCATGCCAATGCTCAGCATACGAAATGCGTGGTCATGCACAATGAGCACTCGATTTCACATAGGCACACAATCAATTAATGCCAACTCAATGTGCATCTCAACATGCTCAATACCACAAATTAACTTGCCCAATTAATCCAATAACTCAATTCAGCCACGATATGATCAACTCACAATTTAGCATGCTCAGAACATCACATTGACATGCCCAATTAATTCAATTAGTCCGATTCGAACACGGCTCACAATTGGCACACAATTTCCATGCGATTAGAACAATTCAATTACGCATTAGGACGGACCGCCATGCCTCCTCATTCTCGGCCACACATGGCATGCATCATGGCATCATAAAAATAATCACCGATCAAGCACGAATCAGCCACTAATCGGACAATACAAGGCATGCTCGGGATTCCACAATTAAACCCTAAATTAACCGAACTTAGGCCAATTAAATCCAATAATTTCAGCCATTAGATAGCCCACTCTAGGGCACTAAACCACATTGAAACCAACATATTAGACTCCTAAATCATCTCATAATCCACGACTAATTAATCAGCCCACTAATTATCCCTAAATTCCCCTAATTAACCTCTAAATTACCCTAAACCTATCTAGAAATGCTAATTAGCCTAATTAGGGTATAGGGTTAATACTCACTTGGGCTCCTAAGCTCCAAACAAGCTGATCGGGAGAGAAAAACGAGCCGGCTGAGCTGGTTTAACGGCGGCGCAAGCAGCGGCGAACGACGGCTCCCGCGGCGGCGCGAACGGCGGTGTGCGGCTGCTTCGGCGGGGCTGCTCACGTGGCTGGGAAAAGGGAGAGAGAGAATGGGACGGCTGGAAAGGTCGGGTGAGGATGAGTGCGTGGAAGGCGGTTCATGGCGGCGGCACCAGCGAGCGGCGGCGCTCCGGCATGCTCGGCTGCTCACGGCCGAAGGGGAAAGAAGGAGAGGGAGAGTGGCGTGGGGGAGGGGTTGGCCGGAGATGGTGAAGGAGTGAAATGAGGGAGGGAGAGAGAGAGAGAGAGAGAGAGAGAGAGAGAGAGAGAGAGAGAGAGAGAGAGAGAGAGAGAGAGAGGAGAGTGTATAGGCTAGAGTGAGTGGGGGTGGTTGAACAACTTCCCAAAAATTACCATATTGTCCTAATTTCTAGAGCTATGATCAAATCTTGATAAAATATCTAGGGGTAGATTGGTCCACTAATTTTAGCAATAATAGGGCTGATAATTCTAATCAAAACTCCTGAAATTCGGAATACAAGCATAGGGCGTAGGGGCAAAACGGTAATTTTCCGGTCCCAGGCCAAATTTTCAATTTTCGACTCTACCGATCCCAAATATAATTGGCCACACTTATACGACGTTGTCCTTGCAAAATAGTCGCGTACGTCCACGAAATTTGACACCGAAGTCCGTACTCAATTCCACGATCGATTTCGCTCAAATGGGATTTTAGCGTCTCTCACTAACGGGCGGCTGTTTAGGGGTTACGCGTACCGACTTAGGGTTACTCGAGTCGTGACGATCTCGATCTCTCAGAGAACACGAGGATTTATCACTAGTTCCAGGGGTCGCGATCGTTCGGAATAAGTTCGGGATCGTTCGCCACGCGTACTCTCGGTCGTGCGGAATCACCCGCGATCCGATCGTACTTCGCTGGCCAAACCAAATCTGTCACTCTCCTTGGACCGGCCCACATTGGCACAAAATATTCCCTCGTCGTCTCTCGGAACCGTACTCAATTCACGGTCGAGTTCTTGGGTCCACGTACCGTTTTCCTAGTTAGCCATTCCCTATTAGTCAGTATCCCGAGAATGATCAGTTCCGGGCGAGACTTACTAAAACCAATTGAGAAATATATATCCATTTTATTGATCACGAAAGTGGGTCGAATTCAGGACGTTACAGTTCTCCCCGTGCTTGAAGGAGAACCTTTGGCACAAGTTCCCATTCACCGGGTTCGTTGCTATGCTGAGCGCCATCGTGACGCTGATGGTGGACTCGATGGCGACGAGCATGTATAGCCAAAAGAACAACGTTGGCGTCATTCCCGAAAGCGAGACCATTGACGGTGACCGGGAGATGGGCGTCGTGACCGCGGCGCATTTGCATAGCCACGGCCACGGCCGCCGCCACCACCACCACCACCACGGAGCGGCAGGAAAGGTGGAGGCCACGAGTTCTTGGTTGCTTCGGTACAGGGTCGTTGCAATGGTAAGATCATACTTTGGATATTGTTAGTATATGTTTTTCACTTAGATTTATTTACTGTATGGTACTACTAAAGTTCACATGGATGCGAAGCTCGAGGACCCGCAAGATAAAGCTCCTCGACCCCACAATCATTATTTCACAAAATGGCATCATTTATTTACAGATGTCGACATAGATGCAAGACTTACTCCATATATTATAGATTTCGTATTATATATATTTTCTACCTCGTGGACCGTTCAAAGAATTATTATTGGCATGCGGGATTTTCTTATTCAGTTTCTGTCAATTTAGGTTTTCTGCGGCACTTGCTTCTGCAGTTAAATGATTAAATATCGACTTTCTTGAAAAGAATTTGAAATCTAGTAACATCCACCAACCACTTTGCCTTTGGTGAATGAACATGGGACATCGGTAGCGAAGAAAAGAAATAAGAGATCATAGTATTTTTAGTCATAATTGAAAGGTAGAAGAGGATTTTTTTAAGAAATCATATCATGGACTTGACAAAGTTTTTGGAAAAAAAAATGCTCCGCACACTATATATCAATCAGAAAGGTTAAAGTTTCAATTTGTGACTTCTTAGGGTCTTTTTTCTTTACTAAAAAATATTTCTTAGTTTGCTTAAAAAATCCTCAAACTATAAAAAAAAAAGCACTGTAAAATTTAAAAATCACGAAGGATTATATAGAATTTCACATGTCAATATTATAAGACTTTAGGTGCTTCAAATTGAACAAAAGTCAAATCACGAGAGTTGCAGAATTCGAAAACAGTAAAATTTGAAAGTTCAATTTTGATTATGCGCATCCGTCCTAATAGCGACCTTCGTAAAATTTGATTTTCTCAAAAGAGACAACGGGCTTTGTATGATGCATCTCTAAGAAATTATTTGGACACCTACTATCTCTTAATTACGACCAAGTATATCTTTACCGCGATGAAGCTATGATATCATAGTGTTGGAAAATTAATATATTAGCTTCAAATGATATCTGTTCTTCATATATAAATTTCTTTTCTAGACATTAAAATTGGGATCGATTGTACTTAGGTGCTGGAGCTAGGAATAGTGGTACACTCGGTGGTGATAGGGCTTGGATTGGGAGCCTCAAGCAATGTGTGCACCATCAGAGGCCTTGTGGCTGCTCTTTGCTTCCATCAAATGTCTGAAGGCATGGGTCTTGGTGGCTGCATTCTTCAGGTAACACTTCAGATCCACAAACCTCCAAACTTTTTCAGTTTATGGCAAAGAAAAACAAATTAATCAGCAGATCTGTTGTTATTTCCATGTTCCCATGTTGGTCCAAGTCGGCTAATTGAATCTTTTGTAAACCCTATAAATAGGCAGAGTACAGGTGGTTGAAGAAGCTGGTAATGGTGTTCTTCTTCTCGGTGACGACCCCGTTTGGGATCGCTCTATCGAGCACCTACCAGGAGAACAGCCCGAGCTCGCTCATCACGGTCGGCCTGCTCAACGCGTCGTCCGCAGGGCTCCTGATCTACATGGCCCTTGTCGACCTCCTCGCCGCCGACTTCATGGGTCCAAAGCTGCAGCGCAGCATCAAGCTCCAGATCAAGTCCTATGCTGCCGTGCTGCTGGGTGCTGGTGGCATGTCTCTCATGGCCAAATGGGCCTGAGTTTGTACTAATTATCCTCAACGAACAAAATGTATAACTGGATGGTTTTTCTGTTTTCTTTTCGCTTTTTGGTTTGTGCTCATGCTACATATGTGTTTGGCTTTTGGATTATCAACAACTGAGGAATATGTCATAAATTGTGTATATGATATGCTCTCATCACATAGAATGCTAACTTATGAACACAGAAAAAGTTTTCTGTTGATCCGCTATAATGCTGTCTTGAAAGGACGAACTAGTCACTTTATAAATGTCGTTTCGCAACACTTGCATCTCGGTCAAGATACCGATAACCAAATAAGGAAGAAAGACGTTCTATTGGTAGGAATCCCTAGATTGTATCTCTTCATTTTAACAAATATAAAGTAAGATAAAAATATCAATCTTTAAATAAATTGCGAGATGATGGAATTAATGTTAATTATAAATTTATATTTCTTTTCAACATAAAAACAGATTTAATTCAAAGTCGGAAATTAGCATCGTGTACGTATGTCTCGCCACTAAATAAATGGGTGGATATTAAAGCAACATGTGCGTGGAATTCTGCAAAACATCATAGACAACCTATAATCATGTGCGTTATGCTAATATATAGGGAAAAGCCTCCAAAAAGTCAAATACTCAATGAACCCATTTTATTAAGAGCGAAGTTCCCTTTTCATTTTTGCTTTCTCTCCTCTCACTGATGCACAAAACTCTCATACATCAATGGTCCTCATACAAGTTTTTCTCCTTGAGGCGGAACACACGCATTTGCCATTTACCAAGGCGGGACGCTGTGGAACAGGACAATGTCCAATACAAGTTTCTCCTGGTCCTTTCCGAAGATCCGAGAGATCCCAGCTCCCTCCCGGTGCAACTCTTGTTTGAGCATGTGAGATGACAAGACCTTTAAAGGAAGGAAAATGTGGAGGAACTCATCAGTGCAGTTCTACGTTTAGAAATGATAATAGTAAAATTGAGAGATGAGAAGAAACCTACCGGATGAAATCACCAATAGAAAGACCATTGTGTTGAGCTTGGTTTGACCCTTCTCCATGTCCAAGTACATCTGGCCTGATTGATTGTCAAAGGTATACGATTGTGAAAGATATTTGTTTATGTGTCCCACCGAAGTGGGTTTAAATAGATGTCTAAAGTTCGGTATTTTTGGAGTTTGAGTGGAGGCAAGATGCAAAAAAAAAAAAAATAGCAATTGGGTTGCTAAATATGCATATTCTGCTAATATTCTCATAGAAATTTTTTCTTTGTTACCCTTATTTCGCGGTGTTAGTGGTCTGCCCTAAGAATCAATCAAGGTTGATACTCTAATATTAGTTGTGGATTAGGTTGTGTCGGAAAACCGATCTTCACTATACTTAGGTAGTCATAATGTGTTGCTAGAGACCGCTTATGACTTGTGGGCCAAAAGAGTTTTGGGCACACTGCTAATGTTTAGTGAACCTACAGGGTCGCACACAATAGCGAACGGACTTAATATTGTCTGTGCGCCTTGATCTACTTAAGAAGTAGATTTTAATTTATTCTCCTATTTAAATTATCTATGCGATCGTGCGCGTTATGAGATAACGATTAGACGTACGATTGAAGGTGGACGGTTTGGCGGGCCCAAATAGCCCGGCCCACTTCTTTTAATTGCACTAGATAATGAGGCTGTATAAATAGATAGAGAATCGTTCTCTGTCTGGGGTTTTTTCGATAGAGTATCGAAAATCAAAAGGCGTTCAAGAAAAGGAACTTCAAGATCTTTCGCTAGCACGTGGATCGTTAGAGAATTTCCGTTCGTGTGTGTGGATACCGGTAGAGGCGCAACACTTGGGGCGCTCATCCAGACACAATCAGTTGCTGATTTATCTTCAATCTGCAAAAGGTACGTATCGAAATTCCTTTCCAATTTCAATATACACATGGATCCTGTCTAGGGTTCTATATTCCGCTGCGTTGTTTTCGTTGATGAACCCTACACGCGGGTCTCCATAGAAATGCACATTTGGTTTATTAGGTAAGACTATATGTACTCGCAGTATACAATTGGATTCTTCGAGAAGTTTCTACCATATATAATTTAAGCATTTCTCGGAGTTAATGGGATGAATTTACTTTTTCTTGGTAAGAAATGTTACTCTCTAATAAAACTTAATTCTATCTTATCTCTTATCAACAAAGAAAGTAAATCTAGAGTGTAATTTAGATCATATAATCGAAATATCCAATTTACTATTCAATCTGCACATTAGTTTCCTTCCCTAAAAGTACGAGCGATTCTGACCCGTTTGAAATTCTCTAACATTTTCCTAATCTAAGAAAAGATATCTAACGTGTATACATTTCCTCATTTGTTAAATTGTGGCATCCCAGACACGCCACTTACTAATGCGTTCTTAATCTTTTCACTTTTAGCACAAGCGGAAGACAAAACACAATCAAATTAAACATTTCTCGATCAGTGGACACATCCACAACAAAATACCACATCTTCATTTCCCACTTTTTATTTATATACAAAAGGTTATTTGGATGACATCCTTTTCAAGCATGATAGCAAAATTTCATCGGGGAGGTCAAAATGGGGTCCTACTCCCCTAATGCAGCTACATCCACAACTCCACTTCTCTACTTGTCGCCACCACCTCCATCACTACTGACACTATCAGGATAAGGGGTCGGTGACATGTTCGAAGATCTGTAAAAAATGTGTCAACGATAAACAGTGAGCGAAAACTCAGCCAAGTAAACTCTATCACGCCATACTAAACGGATAATGACAAGCATTTCAATCGAGTTAAATAGGTAGACAGATGAACCAATTCACATCCAACCATAACATAGAAGACTCCCTTTTTTATTTGAGCGTAATTCACCAGATAAAAGATTGTCGATCGACTAACAGCCATTCACACGAATTCTCATTTGATTTAGTAACTCAGGCCACAACATCCTCCGGGGAACCCAGTTACCCCCCCGGGCATCTCGTACCCATCACGGCACATCTGGGGAACCGTGTTACACCCCCAGGCATCCGAGGGAACCCCGTTACCCCCTCAGGCATCTCGCACCTACCACGGCATCACGAGGACATCTGGGGAACCGTGTTACACCCCCAGGCATCCGAGGGAACCCAGTTACCCCCTCAGGCATCTCGCACCTACCACGGCATCACGAGGACATCTGGGGAACCGTGTTACACCCCCAAGCATCCGAGGGAACCCAGTTACCCCCCCGGGCATCCCAACTCCGGGGCATCGTCGTCATGGGGACCGACGGAACAACCACACTTACAATTCCACACCCTTCGGCACATACATTACAGAAATTTAGAATTGTAATTTACAATATTTAATACAAAGGAAACATCTCATCAGAAAGTTCACAGCGTGTACGTTACATCTTCCGAAGACACCCAATCGAAAACTCCGATGTCTCAAATAAGAATCAATGAAACTTGGAATTTTTGCAATACTGGACAGTTTTGTAGACCCTGGGAAATCAATCCCAAAGACATGGCAAATGAGTTCCAAAAATTCCGAAATTCTAATATGATATTAACAAGACCTTAACACATATTTTTCATGAAGAACACAATCCCAAAATCCTCCTGGAAAGAGAAATTTTGAGGGCACGAAAAAAGACTAGAACTGGACCGTCGGAACAGTGACACCGAGTTACAAGGAATGCTCTTTTGACACATCAAATGATGTCTAAACACCTTGAAATTTTTATATATTGTACAAAATGGGACTATGAACAAATTTTGTGAAGGAAGTATGATCGAATTCGAAGTGGATATTTTTATAAAAAATTGAGAAGGTCCAGAGGTCACGGTCTCCACCTTAAATACAGTTCTGATCCGGTAAAAGATTGGCCCTTCGAAATATCCATTTGTACTCAGAAAAATATGAAATTTAAGTATGTTGTAAATCAAGATCTTCTGAACAACTTTTAAGAAGAACGTTTAGCCAAATTCGGTCCACAACCGAAGCTGTAAAAATAGAAAACAGTGGATGTCCAGAGAAGTCGGTTTCTGGAACCCGAAACAGACATCAAGAAATGGATTCCCATTGAAGATCCACTACCTTCCAGCCACGAATTCACCATTCTAGGAACTCAAATCAACATGCATGGCCTGTTCCATACTAGTCTAGCACCCTAGACCCACCAAGGTTCGTTCTAATGGATCAACCCTTCAAGGACAGCCGCTGCAACCACTCGGACTCGCCTAACCCCAACTCAGATCAGTTCAAAAGCTTACCCGAGACCCAACCGTCATGCAACCATTAACGTGGTTAGTATAAGGTGATAGAGAGTACTTGCCAGTGAGAGGAAATGGCTGAGATGGCTGAGGCGAAGCTGCTGGTCCGAGGCGGAGACGAAACGGCCGGCTACCGCTGCTGGTCGTGGACAGAGTAGAGGGCGGCAGCTGCTGGTCGGTGGAGGGGCTGTCTTCCAGGCGGCCAGAGAGAGAGACGAGAGAGAGTTGAGCTGAGGCGAGAGAGTGAGTTCGCAGAGAAATGAGAGGGAGTGAGCTGAGGCGAGAGAGAGAGCCGAAGGAGATGCACTTCTCGGATGGCCCTTTAGTTCCCCTTGCATGCATGGGCATGTATGGTGACACTTGGCACCTTTCTCTTGCCAATTGTTGATAAAAAGTGATCATTTCAGTGCCAAGAACTCCACGCGGAAATGCCACATGGACTAGATTTTTTAAATATTGTACCATAAAAGCCACGTATTATTTTTGGCTGGAATTTCAAGCCATTGGCACTTAAGTGATCATTTTTTCTTCGATTTGGCACTTAAGTGATTTAACGAAAACTTACACAACTTTTGTCACTTCTAGTGCTCTTCCGCACGCAAAGGTGCAAAGAAACGTTACGGGGAGAAAAATAGAAAAACAATTGATGGAATTTCTCTCGTGAAACGAGAGGGCTAAAGGAGGAAAGAAAAAAAAACTTGGTGATAATTTGTGGAATACTCGGTGAACTAGGATCTTTATTTGAGAC